CTCCGCTCTCGCTCTCGCTCTCGCTCTCTCTCTCTCTGTCTCTGTCTCTCTGTCTCTCTGTCTCTCTGTCTCTCTGTCTCTCTGTCTCTCTCTCTCTCTGTCTGTCACTTTCTCCCTCCCACACCCTCCCTCTCCCTCCCTCCATCCCCCCACAGTCGTACAAGAACCTATATGTTTATATATATATATATATATATGATACCCCCGCATTGACCTACCCTTTTGCCTCTATTGAGACGCAGGGGTGGGTAGGGGTGGAGCCGACTGGAGCCACTTTGGAACTTTGGGAGCGGCAAAACACTGAGAGGCCCCAATCTTTTGGAATCCTGGACCGAAACCCTAAACCCTAAACCCTAAACCCCAAACCCTAAACCCTAAACCATAAACCCTAAACCCTTGAGAGGCCTCTCAAGCTTTTGGAGCTCCCAGAGTCCCAAAGTGCTGAGGTGCCTCCATCTTTTTGAGTCTTGAACCTCGAAAAGAATGGGGCCTCTCGAGGTTTGGAAGCTCCCACAGTCTCAAAATGCTGAGAGGCCCCGATCCGTTTGATTTTGATGCCCTGTGAAACCTACCTCAAAGCGTCCTGTTGTGTTTTTTAGACTACGCTGCGACTCTTCTCCGAACACAAGTCTTAAATCCCATAACCGTTCAAACCAACTTAGTGATACTAAGTATTTCCTAAATGCCCTGTCTATGACAACACAAAACCGTTCAATCCAAGATGATCGTGCTACGTATTGCCTCGTATGTCCTATCTACGACCTTGCAAAACCGTCCAAACCAAGATAAAGAGAACACGTATTGCTTAGTATTCCCTGTCTGCGACGACACAGCACAACTTAAACCAAGATAATGATACGACGTGTTGATTAATATCCCCTGTCTACGACCACACAAGAACTGTTCAAACCAAGATCATATCAAAAAGTATTCTACTATCCTCTGTATACTATGCTATTAAACTTTTGGCTTTTCATAATAACTTTCCTTCTTTAAATCGTTATCTGTGGGGTATGCTACAAGGTATTCTATAAGGTATTCTAAAAGGCTTCCAAAAAAGGTTCTTTGAAGGATACAGAGAGTAAGTATATTGCATAGGCGGTTTTCTGTAACATAATCTCTCACAGGGTATTCCAGATGGGATTCTACAGAACATTCTATAAGGTACTCCAGGTATTGTAAAAAAGGTATTCTGTAGCCTCTTTTCGGAAGGTATCTATAGAGTATTCTATATGAAATCCTTTGAAGTAGAATGAGGTGGTATTCTATAAGGTAGTTGTAAGGCTATTCTTCTTGGTTCTTGATTTTCTTCATAGGAATCTCTTATCCAAAATCTACAACTCAACGGGGGACTTCTCAGATCTTGGGCTCCGACCGGTTTTCCATGTTTGAGGTCCCTATCTATAGGGTGCTTTGCGGGGTGTTCTGTAGGGGATTCTAAAGGGTACCCTATAAGATGTTTGACAGGTTTCTATATGGCATGCATAAGGTTTACAGGATGTTTCATATGTAGCGGTCTTCTATACGGTATTTCTACAGGATATTCCAGATGATAAAAAAAGTATAGGGCACATCAGTGGAATTGTTTACAGTATTCTATAAAACAGTCAGAAAGGTACTCTATAGGCTGTCCCACAAGGTATCGTAAAAGGTATTCTACAGGGTAGAAAGGGTATTCTGTAAGGTATTCTACAGGCTATTCTCCTTGATTTATCATTTCTTGCATAGAAATCCCTTGCTCAAAAGGCTACAAGATCGGATCTTCCTGAATCCCCCTATATAAATCCTGATCTATAAGTTCTCTTTCGGGGATTCCAAAGGGATTCTCAAGGGTATATATAAGGTATACAAGGAACATCATATATAGGATTTTTTAGAGTCCGGGAGACTCGCGACAACTTTGTTGCAGCGTCACGCGAAGTGTGCTTCTGTTATTCTACAGCAAAGCCATATCTAGCACCGCAATTTTTCAGTTCAAGTCTCTCTTCTGTTTTCATCATGACTCATTGCTATTCGGTGCTCCTTAGACCCCAACAAAGGTAGGTCAATGGGGGGAGGGTAGCTATATATATGAAAATAATATATATATATATATATATATATTTGTATGCGATGTAAACCATATCATAGCCTATAAGACTCTCCTACAAATCTGATTCAGGAGGATCCGAAACCTGCCGCCGCCGATCCCGCGTCCGAGTCACGAGGTGCCCCGGGTCGGGTCGGTTAGAACCCTGAAGGGGTTAGGTTTAGGGTTGTGTTTAGTTTAGGGATACTGCAAGGGATACCTGCAGGGGTACAATAAGTACTGTAGGGGATACTATTCGATGCTGTAAGGGAGAAGCGGTACGATGAGGGGTATTGCAAGGGTTCGCATAAGGTGTCACTACAAGAGGTTTGTACAAAGGTTCACGCAAGGTGTACGAGAAGGGGTTACAAGACCGAAGCCCTAGGTCTAGATACACGGTTTGCTTTAGGTAGGATTAAGTGTTCAGGTGGAGTTTAGGGCTTAAGTTCGGGCTTGAGCTTCAGTTCAGTTTGGGTTTTTGGCAGGAAGCTACGATTCACGTGGAGGGTCGCATGGTCTTGTGCTCGGGAAGGTTCGGGATTTGATTTGCCGTGAGAGCCGGTCCTCGGTGTATCAGAGATGGAGCTTCCCAGCTGTCGAAGTAGATTCGATGGCAGCCGGGGCAACACGAATAATCGTGCAATCAACGTCTTCGTACTATCGTTGATATCCCTTTTCCTCATCTTCATTGCCATTGGTGGTAATGATTAGCCAATCACCATCATTGCCATCATTACCGTCCTCGCCATCGGCATTATGACTGCCACAATAAGCATCAACCAATAACAATATCAATAATTGTATTAATATGAATAATAGTCATCATCATCATCGTCATCATCATCATCATGCTCATCCTCATCATCATCCTCCTCCTCATCATCATCATCATCCTCATCATCCTCATCATCACCATCACAGTCACCATCATCATCATCATCAGTATTACCAGGAACGCCATCAACATCGTTGTCTGTCCAGACTTTTCTGCTTCATCATTCCCAGCATGATCGTCATCATCGCCATCGCCAACTTCTTCTCTTTGCTCCTCTTCATTCCCAAGCTCAACCAACACAAGCATCGCCACCAGCAGTAACATCATCATCAGCATCTTCCTCCTCAGCACTATCGCCATCACCATCACCACCACCATCATCATTACCATCATCATCATCATCGTCATCATCATCATCATCGTCATCATCATCATCATCATCATAATATTCGTCATATTCATCATCATAACCATCATCATCGTTATCATCATCGGTCACTGTCACCATAACCATCACCACCATCATCGCCGTCATCATCATCATCGTCGTCGTCAGTAACATCGCTTTCATCTTTTCGTCACCATGTATCATAAGAGGTTTGGTTGCCATCAACCTCAACTTCAACTCCATCCTCAACATCACTAGCAGCATCTATACTGCCAGCATCTCTCTGATATCATTGTCAGCAGCAGCATTCGCGGTGATGATATTGAAGATGATGGTGGTAGTGGTAGTGATGGTCATGGTGATAATGGTGGTCGTGGTGCTGCTGCTGATGATGATGATGACGATGATGATGATGATGTTCACGATGTTGATGTTGGGGATGATGATCTTGTTTTTATTGTGGTTGTTGTTGATGTGGTGACGGTGATAAAGATTATCACGCGCATGCTTGTTCTTGTTCTTGTGCGTTAGCAATTGACCCGCGGGTTATGCTTGTTTGTGCTTGTTTTTGTTTGCTTCTGGGGTGTTGGGGGGGTGGGGAGTGGGGGCTAGTTTCGTTCTGCCTGACGACGTCCATTACCGAGCAGTCCTAGGAGTAACAGTGCTATGCACTAGCCAACCTTGCTATGCTGCCGCTGCTGCAGCTGCTGCACCTGTACTGCATTGTCTTACAACCATAAGTTCTGCTGCCACCCTTGCTATGCTGCTGCTGCTGCGGCTGCCACTGTCTTACGGCTATACTCTCTAGTTAGTTTGCGATTGCAGACCAAGATGCCTACGCTGTGCCCGTCTGTTGTGGGGTCAGGGGCTCTTGAACTCTCTCAACCCTAACCATTCTATTATGCCATAATATTATACTGTAATCCTACACCCCAAAAGCTTCAAGTACAAAGCTTAAAACCGACATCCCGCGAACCGCGAAAAAACAGTAGTTCCAAAGATGAAACAATGACGAAAGAAAGACACGAAAACTGTAGAGGGTGCGCAAGGCTGTCTCCCAAAACAAGAACTGATAAAGCAGAAATGATTGTTTTACCTCGGTAACACTGCCATTTTGCCTTAACGCCCCGCAAAGACTACAAAGGCATGGCAACACCGAAGCCCCACAAACCCAAACCTCGACTGAAATCCAAAAAAGGCCATTCTGACCGGAAACTGTAAAGACATGCTGCCGGACAATCAAGCCATCGAACGCAAAACCTTGTTTTCGCCGTTGCAAAACCACCAAACACACTAGTTCCAAAGATAAAACAATGACGAAAGCAAGACCCGAAAACTTTCCAGGCTGCGCAAGGATGTCTCCCACAATAAGAACGAATAATCCAGAAATCATCGTTTTATTTTGGCACAGCTGCCATTTTGCCTCAAAAACCACCCCTGCTATCGCGCGGGTCGTTTCATGAGGCGTTACCTTGTTCTTCTGTTGCTACCAATGACGACTGCACCTCATGCTGTGATGCTACTGGTGAAGGTTGCTGATGATGACGCTGTCGATGACGATACGTCGCTGCAGCAGCGATTGAAGATGAAGCTGAGATTGGTCACGTTGGTGAGGTCGTTGCTATGGTTCGAGTGTTGATATCAAGGATGATGGTGATGGTGTCGATGTAGATGGCAAAGATGACGAAGACGTGTGAGACCCACCGAACGGACTGCCAAGTTCTGAACGTCTCGCAGAGGTGATGCGCAGGTGGATGATGAAGAGCTCC